CAGGGTTAGGTTTAGGGTTAGGTTCAGGGTTAGGGTTAGGGTTAGGGTTAGGGTTAGGCTTAGGGTTAGGGTTATTAGGTTGTTATTAGTTGTTTGTTGAAGGCACACTTTTGTTGGTGCGCTGTTGTCGGCGTGCTTCTGCGCGCATTCATCAGCGCGATTTCGACCTTGCGGTTTTCTCCCCGCGGTTTCGTCGGCGCGCTTTTGTCGAGCGCGCATTTGTCGGTGAACCTATTTGCCCATCCTTTTGAAGCATTATAAATAATAAAGCAATAAATAACAGCTACAACCAAAAAGACCAACAGATAAGTAGCTTGAATTACAGACAATACGCAGGATTTTCAATATCAGTCAAACTTGAAACGTTCTACCAATCCATCAATGGAGTGATTGCAGCAAACTAGACAACACTTGGTGAAGACGAAAGAGTGGAGTTCTGGGCACAGCTACGGAATAAGAATTGCAACAATAGTGCAGCTGGGATAAAAGTGGTGGCTAAGAATGAAAAAAGAAGCTGGAATGAAAGAACTTGTAATAAAAGCAGAAATGGTGGAGAAACTGCAAGGAAGATCAAGAATTGATCAGCACCAGGCGAAGATTAACAACATGTTTTTTCATTAAAACACCTGACTGGTCTACAGCGACTCAAGGGCACGAAATTGGAGATTGATTAGCAGCTGATAAGCCTATATAATAATGAAAGGTCCAATAAAATAATATATAATGAATGAAAGGTCCAATAAAAGAGGAAGCACCAGGCAACTATAGGCCAATTGCCTGCTGACCAACAACTTTGAAATTGCTGCTGTGGTAGCTGATACAATCCAACAGCATCTAGCTGAAAACAAGTTTTTTTTTCCACCTGAATGTGGCTTGCATTGCTTAAAAGAAGGCATTCAGCTCCCTGCCACGTGATTGTATAATCAAGTGTCTAGAAATAACAGAAGTCAGTAGAAACATCGGAAGCTTCATAAATTAGAGACACAATGGAAGAGACAGTTGCTGGTTAGTGGTGATGTTCTGGGAGAGGTTAATATCAACAGAGGAATCTTTCAAGAAGATTCACTCTCACCATTACTGTTTGTCATTGCACTGATTCCTCTGTCAACAATACTGAAGAAATCAGACCCATGACTATTAAATATCAAAAAATATGTGCCAGGCGATCTGGTCTCCTTTTTGTGAATGATCTGAATGGAAAAAAAACATCATCTGAAATAGAATTACGGCTCAATGCTGTCCATATAGCAATAGCAATAGCAGTTAGACTTATATACCGCTTCATAGGGCTTTCAGCCCTCTCTAAGCGGTTTACAGAGTCAGCATATCGCCCGCACANAACCCTGAGCCGGTGAGATTTGAACCGCTGAACTGCTGATCTAGCAGTAGCCTGCAGTGCTGCATTTAACCACTGCGCCACCTTGGCTCTTGCTGGAGAGCCATTTGTCTGGAACAGTATAGGGTCTATAGAAGGATGGAAGGCTGAGTCGACCTTGAGCCAATCAGGGTCGAACTCCTGGCAGCCGGCAGAGTTAGCCTGCAATACTGCATTCTAACCACTGGGAGGGAGGGAAGGAAGGAAGGAAGAAGGGAAAGAAGGAAGGAGGGAGGGAGGGAGGAAGGGAAGAAAGGAGGGAAAGAAGGACAGAGGGAGGGAGGGAAGGAAGGAAAGAAGGAAGGAGGGAGGGAGGGAAGGAAAGAAGGGAAACAAGGAAGGAAGAAGGGAAAGAAGGAAGGAGGGAGGGAGGGAAGGAAAGAAGGAAGGAGGGAGGGAAGGAAAGAAGGAAGAAGGGAAAGAAGGAAGGAAGGAGGGAGGGAAGGAAGGAGGAAAAGAAGGAAGGAGGGAAGGAAAGAAGGAAGGAGGGAAAGAAGGAAGGAGGGTGGGAGGAAAGGAACAAATGTAAAGGAGGAAGGAAGAAGGTAAAGAAGGAAGGAAGGAAGGAGGGAGGGAAAGAAGGAAGGAGGGAGGGAGGGAAGGAAGGAGGGAAAGAAGGAGGGAGGGAGGGATGGAAGGAAGAAGGTAAAGAAGGAAGGAAGAAGGTAAAGAAGGAAGGAGGGAGAGAGGGAAGGAAGGAAGGAAAGAAGGAATTAGGGAGGGAGGGAAGGAAAGAAGGAAGAAGGGAAAGAAGGAAGGAAAGAAGGAATGAGGGAGGGAGGGAGGAAAGGGGTTAGCAATAGCACTTATATACCACTTCACCGTGCTTTTACAGCCCTCTCTAAACAGTTTACAGAGTCAGCCTCTTGCCCCCAACAATCTGGCTCCTCATTTGACCAACCTCGGAAGGACAGGAGGCTGAGTCAACCTTGAGCCGATCAGGATCGAACTCTTGGCAGCCGGCAGAGTTAGCCTGCAATACTGCATTCCAACCACTGCGTCCCCATATTCTATAAGGCATCGTCTTGGAAAAGCTTATATTTTGGGGCCACCACCCGTTTTAGCCTTAAACGCCACCTGGGGACGCACCATAGTTCTGTTGCCATCGGTCAGAGAAGAGGACGAAGACAGGGGCTCTGCCGAGCTTGAAGCCAGCATGAATGGCACCAGGGTATCTTCCAGGATCTTGCGTTCCTAAAGGGGAGAAGCTGGTCAAAGTCCGTGAAGATGCTCAAATCACCCAAGTGGAGTTGTCTGGAAGTTGAGTCGTGGCAATTGAGACTTTTTTTTCCATTTGAAACACTTCACTGCTTATCCAAGCGGCTTCTTCGGACAGCTTCTTCGGCTAAAAGCTAAGTCAACCTTGAGCCGATCAGGATCGAACTCCTGGCAGCTGGCAGAGTTAGCCAGCTGCCAGGAGGGGTGGGAAACGACTCAACTTCCAGACATGGTGTTGGGGCCCACCAGGTTCAGACAGTGAGGAGGTTGGGGAGGAAGATTGGCCGGTCCTGGAGTCTGGGGAAGGCTCGGATGAGGGCTCTGTGTCGGAGGCAGAGAGGGGGCCAGGACCGTATGCCAGTTACCAGCTGCCTTCGGAGTTGGATATCAGTGAGGCAGAAGAACAGCTGGAGCCTGTTCCCAGTGTGCACATGCGCAGAGCTGCCAGACGAAAGGAACAGCTAAAGAACAGGGGTCGACTTGGGAGTGAGGCCACAGGTGGACGGTGAATGGCCCTTCCCAGAGGGAATAGAAGAGGAGCGGAAGGGGAGTGGAGTTTGCAGGAGACCATTAGTTCACTTAATTGGTTCGTGACTCTCTGAGACTCCTTGCCAAGTTTTGCATATCTTGGCCTGTCAGATCTCCAAGCCAGATAAGGTCTGTGACTGTAAATCCTCCCTCGAAAGACTTTTGAAGAGTTGCCTCTTCGAAAAGCACCTTTGGGACAATACAAGTAGTCCTCGAGCTACGACCACAGCCGTAAGCCCTAATTTTCTGTCTTTAAGTGGGACATTTGTTCAGTGAGTTTTGCTCTCTTTTACGACTTTCCCCTGGCCACGGCTGCAAAGTGAATCACTGATAAGTCAGCAACCCGGTTGATAAGTGAATCTCGGCTTCCCTATTGATTTTGCTTATCGCAAAAGGTCGCAAAAGAGAATCGCTTGGGACACAGCAATGGCCGTAAGTACGAACCGGTTGCCAAGCATCTGAATTTTAGTCAGATGATCGCGGGGATGCGACTAAAGTCGTAACTGTGAAAAAACAGCCATAAGTCAGTTTTTCCAGTGCTGTTGTGGTTTTGAACGGTCGCTAAGCGAAGCGTTGTAAGTCGAGGACCGGCTGCGCATAATTCAAATGTGTTCAGACCAACCTTCTAGAAAATAAATTTTAAAAAGGGGAGGAAAAATGAAAAAAAAAGCACTTTGGGGAATAAAATTACCAAAGGTCGAAAGGGCAAGGGGGTGCATTGAGTTGGAGACACACACACACACCCTTGACCCCAATCACACCTCGGGCTTCGTACCTCTTCGTAATATTTGCGTTCCTCTTCTTCCACTTCCTTCTGGGCTTTTTCCCACTCTTTTTTCAACTTCTCCTGCTCTTTCTGATACCTTTCCTAAGGAAAGAACATAGCAACGCAAGCTGCACAGCGGGAATCCTGGCCGGGGGCAGGATTGAAAAATGTTAGTTCTCTGCCCGGTTGCTGAGTGGGCGTGGCTATGGTGGGCATGGCTACCTTCACTCTCCTGGACTCAGAAGCTTTCCTTGAGCCTCTGGGAGGCGAAAACAGCCTCCCCCAGGCTCCGGAGGCTTCCCGGAGGCCCATTTTTCACCTTCCCGGAGCCTCCGCGTGGGGCCTGCGCTTACCTGTCATGAGGAACGGGCCACGTGGAGACTCCTGGGAGTCTCCAGCTCTGGGTGGGCAGGGCCAGCCAGTCCGTGCAACTAGCGGTTCGGCGAACCAGATTAAAATTTACATATACTTTGCCCGAACTGGCTGAATCCCACTCCTGATCCTTGCCGAATGGTGGGCATGGCCACCTTCACCCCTCTGGCCCCAGAAGCTTTCCTTTAGCCTCTGGGAAGGCGAAAACAGCCTCCCCCAGGCTCCGGAGGCTTCCCGGAGGCCCATTTTTCACCTTCCCGGAGCCTCCGCGTGGGGCCTGCGCTTACCTGTCATGAGGAACGGGCCACGTGGAGACTCCTGGGAGTCTCCAGCTCTGGGTGGGCAGGGCCAGCCAGTCCGTGCAACTAGCGGTTCGGCGAACCAGATTAAAATTAACATATACTTTGCCCGAACCGGCTGAATCTCACCCCTGATCCTGGCCCAACGTGGTGGAACTGTGGTATCTCAGCTGGATCTATGGAAGAGCTCCTAGTAAAGGTTTCTTTCAAAACTTTCTCTTTTTTAAAAATGTTTTTTTATATAATTTTATTTAAAGTTTTGTTCTTTAACGTCCATAACTGCTTAGCGAACAGTGTA